CAACCGGTTGAACATGAGCCAGCAGTGTGCCCAGGTGGCCCAGAAGGCACACGACATCCTGGCTTGTATCAGGAACTGTGTGGCCAGCAGGAGTAGGGATGTAATTCTGCCCCTGTACTCAGCACTGCAGAGGCCTCAACTCGAACCCTGTGCACAGGTCTGGGCCCCTCACTGCAAGAAAGACACTGAGGTGCTGGAGCGGGTCCAGAGGAGAGCAACGAGGCTGGGGAAGGGACTGGAGGGAAAGTCCTGTGAGGAGAGGCTGAGGGAGCTGGGGGTGTTTAGCCTGGAGGAGACTCAGGGGGGAACCTTATCACTCTCTACAACTCCCTGAAAGGGAGGTTGTAGTCAGGTGGGAGTCAGGTTCTTCTCCTGAGCAACTAGGGACAGGACAAGAGGGCATGGCCTGAAACTGTGTGAGGGAGGGTTTAGGTTAGACATCAGGAAACGCTTCGTCATGGAGAAGGTGATCAGGCATTGGAATGCACTGCTCAGGGAAGTGGTGGAGTCACGGTCCCTGGAGGTGTTTAAGGAGAGGCTGGATGTGGAATTTCGTGCCATGGTCATGCCTTCTGGTCCCAGCCTCAACAATTCGTGATTCTGTGATTCTAGCAGGAGAGTGCAGCTACTGTATTACCCTTGCCTGATGAACAGTCCTGTTGCAACAGAACTAGGGGCAATGGTTTTAAACTAAAAGATGGTAGAATTCGAGTGCATATAAGGAAATGTTTTATAATGAGTGTGGTGAAACACTGCCCAGCGAGATGGTGAAGGCCCCATCCCTGGAAACATTCAAGGTCAGGCTTGATAGGGCTCTGAGCAACCTGATCTAGTTCCCTGCTCACTGCAGGAGGGTTGGACTAGATGACCTCTAAAGGGCACTTCCAATCCAAAACATACTGTGGTTCTAATCCTGGCAATCAATGGAGTCACAGCCAGGTCATCCACACACTTCGGCCAGATGGGAGCTTTGAAGATGCTTCTTAGACTCCCAGAGTGAGGCCTCAGGAGGTGGCCTGGGGGTTGGTTCTTGTCCACACTGTGTTGATGTTTGTGAGCATCAGCTCTGAAACAGATTCAGAAAAATAAAAATAAAATCCTGTTTCAACTTACGTGATTTGTATGCTCAAAAGCATTTTTGGAGCTGAAAACCCCCTGGTATTTCAGGCATAAAACCAGTCTTACTGTTATTCAACTCATGACAAGCACAGGAAATAAAGTAGAATAGTTCAGTTGGAAGAGACTTAAAATGACCATCTAGTCCAACTGTCTGATCGCTTCAGGGCTGAGCAAAGTTAAAGCATGGGATTAAACGTGCTGTCCAAATGCCTCTTCAGCACTGACAGGCATGGGACATCGACCATCTCACCAAAAACCATGTTCCAAGGTTTGCCCATCCTCTCCATGAAGAAAAGTTTCCTCATGACAAGTCCAAATCTCTCCCAAAGGAGAGCCCAAAGGCTCAGCAGCATTCCCATGCATGCCCGCACTGGATACCAAAGATCAGCACCTCCCTCTCCACTTCCTCTCCTCAGGAAGCTGTAGAGAGCAGTGAGGTCACCCCTCAGTCTCCTTTTCTTCAAACTAGACAAACTCCAAGTCCTCAGCCACTCCTCAAACAAGCCTGCCAGCCCCATCCCCAGCTTTGATGCCCTCCTCAGGACGTGTTCAAGGACCTTAACACACTTTTTAAATGGCGAGGCCCAGAACTGTGCAAAATACTCAAGGGGAGGCCACACCAGCATTAAATACAGCAGATCAATCACCTCTTTTGACTGGCTGGCTGTGCCACCAGCCCAGGATGGTGTTTGCCCTCTTGGCTTCCAGGACACATTGCTGACTCCTGTGGAGTCTCCTGCTCACCAGCACCCCCAGGTCCCTTTCCGTGTCTGCTGGATTCCATGGCAGGTGCAGATTCCAGCATTTGTTCCTGTTTGGTTTCATGCCACTGACATTTACCCAGTGATCCAATCTATCCAGATTCCACTGCAAGGCCTCTTGTGTCCCTCAACAGACTAACAGTCACTCTCAGTTTAGTATCATCAGCAAGCCTAACAGTGCATTCAACTCCTGCATTCAGATCATTGAAAATTTAACAGAACTGGCCCTAGAATTGAGCCCTGAGGACCAGCACCATTGACCGGTCACCAGCCAAATGTATCCCTGTTCACTGCAACTCTGTGAGTCCTGCTGCTCAGCTAGTTCTTCACCCAGCACACCACATACCTGCTCATCCCACAGCTGGACAACTTGTCCAGAAGGATGCTGGGAAGGACACTATCAAAAGCCTTACTAAAATCCAGAAAAACTACATCCAGTACCTTCCCTTCATCCACTGGGAGGGTGACCTTATCACAGAAGGATACTATAGATTCATAGAATCATTAGAGTAGGATAAGACTTCTAAGATCATCAAGACCAACCATCAACCTGATAAGACCATAACGACTAAATCAGGTCCTGAAGTGCCATGTCTACATGTTTTTTTGAACACCTCCAGGGATGGTGACTCCATTACTTCCCTTGGCAGACTCACCAATCTTTCAGTAAATAAATTTTTCATAATATCCAATCTAAATCTCCCCTGGCACAACTTGAGGCCATTTCTTCTTGTCGTATGGCTAGTAACTTGAGAGAAGAGACCAACACTCACCTTACTACAACCTCCTTTCAAGGATTCCTCTCAGCCTCCTCTTCTCCAGACTAAACAACCCCAGTTCTCTCAGCCAGTCCTCATAAAAGTTGTTCTTCAGACTCCCCCTCACCAGCTTCGTTGCCCTTTTTTGGACCCGCTCCAGCACCTCAACATCTTTCTGAACTGTGGCCCCCAAAATTGAAGCTGTGGCCTCACCAGTGCTGAGCAGAGAGGCACGATCTCTTCCCTATTCCTGTTGTTTTTTATACAGACACGGACGG